CTGCCCTTCACCACTTCCAGGGAGGACCAGCCACAGCTTCTCTGGGCAACCTAAAATCTGAGCATGCACCTTCCTTCTAGCAGGTTTTTGGGGTTAGTTGGTTGAGTGAAGGGCTCCACATGATCAGCTTGGTCACCTGAGCTGGGCAGGTGGGATATGTGGACAGCTGGGCTCAGCCACAGCATCAAAGCACACAGATTTTCTTGATTTGGGGTGGAAGCAGATGTGCAAATACCTCTGGGTAGAGCTCTGCTGCTTCTCAGAGCAAGAAGAGGGGATGGGTCCTTTTTATTTTTGTTGCAGGGGTTTTGTTGTGTGCCTCAGTTTCTACTGGGTGTAAACTGGGAGAAGGAGAGTGCTGCTTTTTAGCAATGGAAGTTACTCCTTGCTTGTGACTTCCCTTCTGCAGCAAAGAAAACTCTGTGGGGTCTTCTAGAGAACAGGCTCTATATGTTTTTTTTCCTTCCTCCAGGCTCTTTGGAGGTTTGATCCGGGATGTAAAACGAAAAGCCCCGTGGTTCTGGAGTGACTTTCGAGATGGTCTGAGGCTGCAGTGTCTGGCATCCTTCCTCTTCCTCTACTGTGCCTGCATGTCCCCTGTCATCACCTTTGGGGGACTGCTGGGGGAGGCGACCGATGGCCACATAGTGAGCACCTCTCTCTGTTGGGTGGCATGAGGGAGGATGAAACTCATGCAAAAATCTTTGCTGCACTGAATTGGCTTTGGATTTGTATTTTTTTTCTCCAACTAATGATTTCTTTACTCACTGCTGCCTCTCTTCCCTGGACAGAGTGCCATGGAGTCACTGCTGGGCGCATCCATGACCGGCGTGGTGTATTCCCTCTTTGCTGGCCAACCTCTCACCATCCTTGGCAGCACTGGACCCGTCCTGGTGTTTGAGAAGATCCTCTACAAATTCTGCAAGTAAGGCTGGCTGCTGCAGCCAGGTGCAGTGAGAGCCTTCAGAAAAAGGCAGTGATGGAGAAATGCTGGTTTTCTTGTGTTTTTCTTAGTGGTAGTTAACAAATTTAACAAATTTAAGTTGTCTCCTGTGTCCCAGACATTGCTTGCTGCTGCTGTAGTACGTGCTGGTGCAAGAGCCCTTGGTCTCTCAAGGATGGATGGGGTTGTTTGGGGTTTTTAGGGTTAAAGTGAAGCAGCAGCAGGAGGAGGAACCACAAGGATGTGGATGCCCAAGATGGGCTGCACAAGGAAGAGGAGACAAATCCCTCTGGTTTGGGAATGAGGGAATTTGCTTCCCTCTGAGTACAAAACCAGGCAGTTTTTAGCCTTGTTTTGGCTGGAACTGGAAATATATTTTGCCCAAATATACCAATATTTCCAATTTTGATGATTTTATTGAAGAAGGAGGAACTTTTCATGTGAAATGATAATGTCCATGACAATCCTTTTGTTGTGATAACTTTGATGCGAGATGAACCACCATTATTGCAATTTACATATATTCTTAAGCCCCATCTTGCTGGCAGCAGATGACTGGGTGAAAAACCAACTGGTTTTGGTATTGGGGCATTGGGGTGATGTGGGAGAACACCACCTTCCACAACAGAGACCTTGACCTCAATTAGCCTCCAAGGGGTTAACCCAAGATAATTGTTAAATAATGCTAATTAAATAATTGGCTTCTCCTGCTATGGGTCCACACCCTGCACCACAGCCCTGAGGCTGTCTGGAGTAATACATGGAAACTGCATTTCCCATCCACAGCCTGGACACGCTCCTGAATTCCTCCCAGTTTTCCCTGAAGGAAGGCACGGCTCAGAGCCTCTCACTGGCCTTTCCACCCTCCCTTTTATTGTGCTTTCCCAGGGAGTACACGCTCTCCTATCTCTCTCTGCGGACGTGCATCGGGCTGTGGACCGCCTTCTTCTGCATAGTGCTGGTGGCCACCGACGCCAGTTGCTTGGTGTGCTACATCACCCGCTTCACGGAAGAAGCCTTCGCCTCCCTCATCTGCATCATCTTCATCTATGAGGCTCTAGAGAAGCTGAGTCACCTGCGAGAGACCTACCCTGTGCACATGCACAGCAAGCTCGACTTCCTCACCATCTACTAGTGGGTTTTTTCCTCCTCAAATGCTGTTGCCCCTTGGCAGGAGCTCAGACCTGCATCTCCATCACCTTTCCCTTACCCCTGTCTTGGTTTCTCTCCCTCCAGCTGTAAGTGTGAGGCACCCACCCATCCCACCAATGAAACCCTACGTTTCTGGGAGAGCAAGAAGATCAACGTGTCTGCCATCACCTGGGAAAACCTCACAGTGACTGTAAGTGCCCTGAGCCACCGCTTCCTTGTGCCACAGCCACGGGGTCCAGGGGCATTCGCGTGGTGCAAAACTCAGAGCTCTTCAGGTGATGGTGGGCTTCAAACTGTGCTAGAGCTGCTCTGGAAAGGCATTGCTTAAATCTCACGGGTGGTTTTAACCTGCTTGGTCCTGGGAAGAAGATCCCACCTTGTCCAAACTACCTTGTCCGCTGCAGAGTGGGTAATAACTGTCCTCCTCAGCCCCGTTGCAGGACAATGTTTCTGACCAGGAGCAAAGTTCAGTGGGTGGTTTGATTATTGTAGCGGTTGGAGGACTTGAGTTCATGCTTGAAGGCATTAATTGGCTTCCTTAATTAGTTCCTAAGAACTTCAGGCCTTGCTTGCTTACTCAGCGCTGTCTGTAGGTACAAGCATCACTCTGCAAGGACATCTTCATCCCCTCTTGGCCATGTCCTGTGAGCCCTCCACTGGGAAGGGACAAATTGTTTCTTCTCCTTTCCTATCACACTTGTCTTAGCCCTCCTTCCCCATTCCCTCTTTCTCTGTCCCCAAGAGTTTCCAGCATTCCCTTCTCCACTGGTGTCTTCTTCAACCACAGTTACCTACCATTCAAGTGGAGAAGGTGCTGTGGTTCTGTGCTATGGTGTCCCACCACATCTCATCTCTCCACTGCAAGGACATCTTCATCCCCTCTTGGCCATGTCCTGTGAGCCCTCCACTGGGAAGGGACAAATTGTTTCTTCTCCTTTCCTATCACACTTGTCTTAGC